GTGTCCGATGGAATCAAAGGTAGAAGTTCAACATTTGGGGGCCTCATTTTGCAGCCGTGCTGATACTGATGAAAGTTCATCAGCTTCCAAAAAGGAATTTGCTTGTCTTTTCTTGCCTAGATACAGACTTGAGATCTGACCTTGGGCTTCTGAAGCTCAAAGTAGCCTCAGCAAAAATAAACTAGCCCCCTCCCTTCCCAGTTATTTTCCAATACCACTGTTGTTACCAACACAAGCAGGATAAAGAGGGGTCTCAGTTCAGAGCCCTTTGGAAGAAAAATGTCAAGTGGAGAATGATCTGTGTGTACCCCACAAAGCATCACTGCTACCCAAATAGAGAAGCTGCACACAGAAAGCATCATGAAGCAAGAGCTGGAAGGGACCTAAAAAGGGCAAAAGGTATCGCTGCACATTGTTCCTATTTCCCCATCCTTTACCATCTGGGTAATACTCCCTTTTTGGAAAGATGCAGGTGGCACTAGGAGCAGGGTTCTTCAATATTGACGTGAGAATTCGCATCAGCATCAGCGGTTCCTGTGTTTACCCCTTATGATAACGATCTATGTGATCCACAACCACTGGAATGAGGCATTAAGGCTCCCTAATCCCCAACACCATGCAGCCTCCATTGGCACTGAATGCCTATCCAGCCCTCAGGGCAGGGAGAAAGGCAAATCCCCCCTTCCTCTCACTCAGAAGTTGGGGCCTGGCAATACATGAGCAGAAGTATCAAGGAGTGGAGTTTGGCATGTAGGGTGTGCCTGGATTGGGACAACAGAACTGACATCAGCCCTGGTCCTGGCATCCCAGCCGGCCTCAGCTCTGTTTGTTTACCTCCCTTCTTACTTTCCAGAGTAATTAATGCTTTCTCTCATTGACAGCTGCTCTGCAGGCACAAGCGAGAAGGATAACAGCATCACTCTGATCTCCATGAAGAACATCAATATGAACAACAGCATGACTTACCCACCATCAGAAAAGGTTTCCCTTTTAAGCCTTGCTTTTTAGAGAGTAAACTGGGGACTGTTTTTCCTGCTGGATAAGGGTGTGCCTTTGAGATAATCCCAACCCTTTACTCCTTCAGAAATGTAGTAACAAGCAGCTGCCAGCAGACTCCCACAGGTCCAACCAGGTTCCACTGAGCCTGATGAAATTTTGGGTGCCCGTTTCAAGTTTATCCAAGCTGCTTGAACTCAAATATTTCATACTTATGGGTGCCAGCCAGAGCAACAGTCATTAAGTTTAGAGATTAAAAAAATTACCTTTCTGAAGTCAATGTCCCCCCATCTAGTCCAAGCTTCCCATGTACTCCTGCTCTGCAGAGCTGTTTGTGATGTTGGAGCACATTCTTATTGGTCCTCTCAGATCCATTCCACATGAGTAATTTAATGTAGCATTGTTGGTTTTAAAACTAAACTAGCACTTAGACTTGGTTTGAGGGACCACATTGCTTAATTTCTTTCGCCAGCCACGTAGGCTGCTGATGTACCACATTTTGTTCTCTTTGCAGGTGCTATGAAACCAACAGTCGAGAACTAGAAGCTGACACTTGAATTTCTAGGCTTTTTTTTTTTTTTTTTTTCCTTTGGGGAAAGGACAAGGGTGGACTTTATATGTAAATTATTATGCTCTTCCTGATCAATACACATACAGTAGTTTCCCCACCTGGGTGGGATTAGGGCTTTCTCCACTTACAGCCTGTCATACTCAATGGTTGATATCTAACTGCATTTCTGATAGGCCCTCAGACTCTCAGATTATTCCAGCAGCAAGAAGTATGAAGGAACCAGCTACTCAGCTAAAAACCTGCTGTCTTAGATTAATGGCCTTCACGGCCTGTGCCAGACAGCCACAGCCTTGCCAGACAGCTCATCAGCGCAGACCCCCGTCGAGCTAAACCTGTGCATTAGAAAAGCATGCTCTGAAGCTGAAGGCCTAATAGGACTTCAACAGCCAAGTGCTAGGTCAAATCATAGCACAGTTGCTCCAAGCCCCTTCTGCACAGTCAGGGTGACCATGCCCACCTACCTCACAGAGCCGTTGTGAGGAGATGTGAACCAGTGTCTCTAAAGCATTTGGAGAGCCGGGAATTAAAGGTGCTGCTGAAATGCAAGCTGCCGTCTTAACGCTTCGTTATCAGCATCTGAGCTTCAGGCAGACTGTCCGTATCTTCCCACAAGTTCAACATACAGTGAAGAAGAGTTGTTTGAAGTACCAAAGAAACAACACTGCTTTGCCAGGACTTTGTCTGGGTGGTCATAAGCAAAATCCTGAGCTACACCAACTCCTGAAGTTCAGCAGCCTGAGTTTGCTGGGAGAGCTTCAGTCTTCTGTACTGCTGCTTTCCCAGAGCTTCCCAAAAGACCAGAGAAGCAGACACCCGTGGTTCCAAGCACCCACACTACTGCAGCTACGAGCACCACAGAGGCATCCCCACTGTGATAATGAGAACAGTGCTCTGCTAACCTGTGCAGTGCCACAGCTCACCCCAGGAGCTGGCTGGCTCACAGCCCACGCTCCTCAGGCCCAGCTGCCAATCACTGCCTACCCACTGCAAAATACAGCCCTATCAGCTGAGCTACAGGCGTGATGGAATCAATGCTCAGCTTCCACGTGACTGTAATGGAAACAAGGCTCTGTTGGGAAGTTCTGGAGATCTCAGCTGCATAATGCACTAAAGCACTAACTCTCCAACTGCTTTTGCCTCTGCCCGTCTTCGTGAGACTCCTGGCTTCAAGCTCTACCAGTTCCTGAGTCAGAGTCCTTGGAGCACCTCATTTACTCGGCAGCAGTTTGCTGAGAAACTGATTTCTCCTACCACAAGCATCAAAATCTATCAGCCCTGAAGGTAAATTGTGAAATCAAGGAAAAAGGATTCATCCAAGCAGGCAAAATAGGTATCACGGAACACATTCCCCTGTACAGTCCAATGAAACATATAATTTAGCTTGATCTAATTTTATAGGATGGATACGAGACGGTTACTGGAGCACACAGTGCTAAAGGTAGCTGTGCTTTGCAGCACACAATGAAGTGCTCAGCATAATAAATGCAATGTTTTCACAACTCTTGTTAAGATCATTGCCAATGGACTTTCTGTGTTTACCATATACATCAGGTATTTTTACAAGTGGTTTGTTTTGTTTTGTTTTGTTTTTAGTGAAGTTTTTTTCTGTTAAAATTCTCAGCAAAGTAAAACCCTACCTCCACCAGAGAGGTGAGTTTGTGTAAATGCTAGTTCCCAGGTGATGCCCAGCTCGGTGTACTCAAGAAGCTGCTCATCTCAGCCCTATTACCCAGTGCATGGAGGCTCACAAGCAGGTTGAACACAGCGTCGAGCTGTCTTGTGCACACCTGCAACATCAAACACGGCAGCAAGCGCCCAGTTCCTCCCCCCACTTCCCAACAAGCCATATTGACCTATATATGGCCGTCCCATGGGATCTCTTCCCTGCTTTAGTTTTCCTTCCCCTGAAATCATCATCTTTCTTCCCTCAGCCTCTCTAGAGTCTTGACAAAAACAAACAAACAAACAAACAAACTGAGCCTGCTCTAATCTGCAACTGAACCACATCCAAAAGCAAAACAAAGCTATGGCACTGTTCAAAAGAAAGAACTGAATTAAAACAGTGGAAACAATGTGAACCCGGCATCCAGGTGCAGCTGGGAGCACACAGCAGGGATCTCCCCTGGGTGCTGTGCGTTGCCCATGCTGGGCTCACTCCTGCAAGCTGCAGAAGTGGAAGGCACCAACTCATTACTGTCAGCAGCCACGGCACCCAAAGGTCCTGTCTCACAGCTCATCAGCCCAGTTTAGTTGGCATGTGGGAGGACAAGTAATCAACATAGACTTGAGCAAACCTTTTGACTCTGCCTCGCACAGCCTTCTCTTGCAGAAGCTGCAGCCCATGGCTTGGACAGGTGTACTTTTCCCTGGGTAAACACCTGGCTGGATGGCTGAGCCCAGAGAGTGGCAGTGGATGGAGTTACACCCAGGTGGCAGCTGCTCATGGGTTGTGTTCCCTGGGGGTCACTACTGGAGCCCGTCCTGTTTAATATCTTTACTGATCATCTAGATGGAGGCATTGAGTGCACCCTCAGAAAGTTTGCAGATGACAAGATGCTGTGGGGAAGCACTGATCTGCCTGGGAGTAGAAAGGCACTACAGAGTGACCTGGACAGGCTGGAGAGCTGGGCTGAGGCCAAAGGGATGAGCTTCAACAAGGCCAAGTGCTGCGTCCTGCACTTTGGCCACAACAGTCCCATGCAGTTCTACAGGCTTGGGGCAAAGTGGCTGGAAGCTGCGTGGGGAAAAAGGATCTGGGTGTGTTGGTGGACATGGGACTGAACACGAGCCAGCAGTGTGCTCGGGTGGCCAAGAGAGCCAATGGCAACATGACTTATGTCAGAAATAGTGCAGCCAGCAGGAGCAGGGCGTGATCATCCCTCTGCACTCAGCTCTGGTGAGGCTGCACCTCAGTGCTGCGCTCAGGTTTGAGTTCCTCAGTGCAAGAAAGACATTGAGGACCTGGAACGTGTCCAGAGAAGAGCATGGAGCTGTGAGGGATCTGGAGCACAAGTCTTATGGGAGCAGCTGAGGGAACGGGGGCAGTTCAGTCTGGAGTAGGCGCAGGGCAGGCTGTTATTGCTCTGTACAACTCCTGACAGGAAGCAGTGGGAGAGGGGTTGAATTCAGCCTCTGCTCCCAGGAAACAGCGGGACGCGAGAGGAGCTTCAAGCTGCACCAGGTTGGGTCGGCTTGGGTCCTAGGAAACGTTTCTTCTCAGAAGCAGTGGCGACGCGGCGCCTCAAGCAGCGCACGGAGCCGTGCAGTCACGGCCCCTGGAGCAGGGGAAGCCCTAGGGGCTCACCGAGCCCCATTTGACGTCACCGGCGCCCCTACCGCCGCGCTGCCCGCTGGGAGTTGTAGTCCCGGGCCGCCCGGCGCCGCCGTTCCCAGCGTTCCCCGGACGCCGCCTCCGCGCACAAGATGGCGGCGCGGGCGGGCCGGGGCGGCGGGTGGTGAGCGGTTGGAGGGTCGGGCTGCCCCGGGCCCGCCATGACCTACACGGCGGAGCAGCTGGACGGCGTGCGGCGGTGAGACTGGGCTGGGGGGGTTGGAGCCGCGGGCCGAGCCGGTGGGGGCGGCGGGGCGGAGAGGTGCCGGGCCTGGGGCCGAGGGGATGCCGGGCTGAGGGGATGCGCCGTGCCCGGCGGTGACGCTGCTCTCGTGTGCGCTTCCAGGATAAAGAGCTGCCGGAACTACTACGAGATCCTTGGCGTGGAGCGGGATGCCACCGAGGAGGAGCTGAAGAAGGCCTACCGCCGGCTGGCCCTCAAGTTCCACCCCGATAAGAACCGCGCTCCCGGAGCCACGGAGGCTTTCAAAGGTGGGGCTGCGACCGGAGCGCTGTGTTGGGCTGCTGAGGGTGATCGTGGAGGGCTTTCCCAGCCCCAGCCGTTCTGTGCTGCCGTTTAAACTCCTGCATCCTCTGCAGCCTTGCTGTGTTGCAGCTGTATGCAAAGCGTGAGTCGGCCCTAAAAAGGCAAAGGTTTCATTCGCTGCCTGTCAAAATGAGGGGTTTTGGAAGGATGTTTCCTTATTTGTTGTGTTGGGGTTGTGTTTCTGTGTGAACTGTTCACAGCTGCTTTCTGACAAAGAGGAAGGAAGAAGATGAAGCAGGCAGGCTGCTCCTTCCAGGTGGTTTGACGTGCACTGTGAATAGATGCACAGGTACTGCTTCGTAAAGATGTGTGCTGGCAGAAAAGCTTGGAATGTGGGTCTGCGTGCCAATTGCTCGCTGCAGTAATAAACTTTGCGTGTGGAGGTGCACTTCTATGTCAGTATTTAGTTAAAAAGCTGCATTCTTCCTCAGCCTTTTGATAGATGAGGACTCTTGCCTTTAAGTTTTCCAAATACTTCACTTCTCTCCATATACTTCAACATTTGTGTCTTTCTCCTGGTAGGAGGTAGGTTTCATAGCAGGTAATCGTGGTGTTCTAATGCTTCTTATGCAAAGGCAGTTCTTTCAAAAGTGAATCAGTCTTTGGGCCAAGAAAACTGTTTTCTGTGACTTGAGCATATTGCTCATCTGCTTACATCCAGAAGTACTGCACTGTAACACTTCTTTTACTTCATCCTCCAGCAATAGGCAATGCTTTTGCAGTTCTGAGCAACCCTGAGAAACGATTGCGATACGACGAATATGGAAGTGACCACGAGCATGTCAGCACTGGCGAAGCCAGGCACTATAATTACTACACAGAATTTGAAGCAGACATTACACCAGAAGAAATATTCAACGTGTTTTTTGGTGGGCACTTTCCAACAGGTTGGTATCTGTCTACGCTGTTCTTCAAGCATCGTGAACTGACGCTAGGCCATAAAGCACTTTGATTGATCTAGTAGTTAAATTATACTTGGAAAAGAGCAAAAAACGTTTTTGAATTTTTTTTTTTTTTTCCTTCCTATCTTATTCTGCCTGTAAATGCTCCTTAAAAGCACAGTTTAAGGTTTTGGTAGCTCCAGTCCCTAAATAGCTCAAAGCCCAGCTTTGCTGTCTAGGAGGGCCGTTGCTGCTGTGACACATTCCTCACCTCCCAGCCTCTCAAGGATTGCTGGCAGCACAAATTAGGAGTAAGAATTTAGGATTGGATTTAGGTTGGTTCTTGTGTGAGCAAAATTTCGTTACCGTCTGTAGCTGAAGACCCTTCTCTTTGTTATTCTTTTATTTTCTCTCCACTGCCTGATGTCAGCTATGATTTGGGAAGCAAAATAAGATGTGAATGCAAGGGGCATGAGGCATCTTTGCTGTTGGTTTTGTCCTTGAGATGTGTTCCTGCATTGTGTTTATAGTAGAAATGGGAAGCCATAGCAGATCAGTGGAATACAGGCTGAGATTAAGAGTAGATCTGGAAGGTGTGGTGAGCCTAGATGTCTTCTTGCCACTATCTGCGTTCATTGACAAATTGCTGTAGTGCTCTTGTCGTTTTTCACTTCAAAGGCAAGCTAGAAAGTAACATGCCAATTACTATAGTCTAAAGCAGGGGGGTTGAGTAATGACTTACAAGTTCCTCCTTGCTGTGCTGTGTGGCGGCATCTTGCAGCTAAGGGAATCTCAAACTGCCTTTGGTATTGAATCAGTAACTGTGCAAGGTGTGTCAGACTCAGTGTGGAGTAACTCCCCCAGCTTTGTGAGCACCTGCATATGACTTTGCTTTGGCCACTGGTGAGACATTCACAACTATAGAACATGGCTGTTGTATGGCTGCATGCAGTGGGATTGCTTGGATTTGAGAATAGAAAACTCAGGAGCTGCAGCAGGGATTTGGATGCTGGTATGACCCATACATAATAGGTAAGGTGACCTGAACAAGTACAGAGGAATTTTTATCCGAGTGGCAAAGAATAAGAAAATAAATATTATTTCATAGCTGTCAGTAATAAACAAAAGGTTCCTTGCCAAAAACATGGCTGGGCCTAAATACATGTGTGTTTTCATAAATGACATTTTGTAATCAAAATCTCACTTTTCAATTCAGCAGTTTTCCAAATAGGCAAAGTTTCTACTTCCCTGGAATAGCTAACATAAAGAGAATGGCTTTCACACCATTGTAATGTTAAGTAGGATTTTCCTGTGTGTGCTGAAGTTTGTGCTAAGCTGCAGTTCTATGCTGGTTTTGTTTTCCTGTGGTACCTTGCTACCACCAGAAATGTGAATAAGAAGTGTTGGTGTTAGATAAAACTCATTCATACAGCTTCTGGGTAGATCTATGGCTCATCTATCTATGGCACAACTTGCAAGTCTAACGGAGGGCTCTACCTGGGGCATAGTGTTGTTGTAATGGCTCTGGGCTAGAAGTTGCACTTCCTTCTCACAAAAGACAAACATGCATGGAAGGAAGAAAGCTGGCAGAAATTCTGTGGGCAACTTTGGATTTGGAAATGTTTTTTCTGAACACCCTGCAAAAACCACTCAACTTCTATTCTTTCACAGCTTGATCAAATACTGTCTGAGTAGCATCAAATGATAGGACCTTTATTTTTCAGGACTGTGCTCTTCTTCAAACCAGCCTCATTAGGCTGGCTTCTGCACTTTGTTAGTGCTGTGCAGTGTTGTGAACAAGCTGGGAAGCACAGGTTTTGACATAGCAGCAAGGGTCAATTCCCCCAGGTTTCTTGCAGAATTCTTTTAGAAATTTGGATAAAGGACAGCATAAAAGTATCACAGAATCACAGAATGGCCTGGGTTGGAAGGGACCTCAAGGATGATGAATCTCCTGCCACATGCAGGGCCACCAACCTCCCCATTTAATACCAGCCCAGGCTGCCCAGGGCCCCATCCAACCTGGCCTTGAACACCTCCAAGGGTGGACGGGGCATCCACAGCCTCTCTGGGCAGCTGTTCCAGCACCTCACCACTCTCATAGTAAAGAACTTCCCCTTGACATCCAAACTAAATCTTCCCTCCCTCAACTTAAGACCATTTCCCCTTGTCCTGCTGTTATCTACCCTTTCAAAGAGTTGATTCCCTCCTGTTTATAGGCTCCCTTTAGGTACTGCAGGCTGCAATGAGGTCACCCCACAGCCTTCTTTTCTCCATGCTGAACAAGCCCAGCTCCCTCAGCCTGTCTTCGTACGGGAGGTGCTGCAGCCCCCTGACCATCTTTGTGGCTCTCCTCTGGACCCTCTCCAACAGTCTTTCTTGTACTGGGGGCTCCAGATCTGGACACAGCACTGCAGATGGGGCCTCACAAGAGCAGAGTAGAGGGGGACAATCTTCTCCCTCTCCTTGCTGGCCACCCCTCTTCTGATGGAGCCCAGGATACCATTTGCTTTCCGAGCTGTGAGAGCACACTGCTGGCTCATGTTCAGCTTTTCATCCATCAAGATCCCCAGGTCCTTTTCTGCAGGGCTGCTCTCATGGAGTGCTCCTTCCAGTCTGTACAGATGCCTGGGATTCCTCCATCCCAAGTGCCAAACCTTGCACTTTGCTGCGGTGAACATCACCAGGTTCACCTGGGCCCACCTTTCCAGCCTCTCAAGGTCCCTCTGAACGGCATCCTTTCCTTTCACCATGTCAACCACACCACTCAGCTTGGTGTGGTCAGCAAATTGCTGAGGGTGCGCTCGATTCCATCATCGCTGTCATTGATAAAGGTGTTACAGAGCACCAGTCCCAACACAGAGCCCTGGAGGACGCCGCTCATTACCGGCCTCCACCTGGACACAGAGCCATTGATGACCACCCTCTGCCTGCAGCCAGTTTCTTATCCATCGAGTGGTTCCCCCATCAAATCCACATCCCTCCAATTTGGAGATGAGGATGTGTTGGGGGCCATGTCAAAGGCTCAAGTCCAGCTAAATGACATCGGTTGCCTTTCCCTTGTCCACCAATGCCGTTACTCCATCACAGAAGGCCACCACATTGGTCAAGCATGACCTTCCCCTGGTGAAGCCGTGCTGGCTGTCTAGGATCACACGCTCATTCCTCTGTGACCAAGCATGTCATCCAGGAGGATCTGTTCCCTGATCTTCCCAGGCACAGAGGTGAGACTCGCTGGCCTATAGTTCCCTCCTTGCTCCCTTTCTTGTCGATGGCAGTGACGTGACCCTTCCTCCAGTCATCTGGGACCTCACCTGACTGCCACGACTCTTCAAATATGATGGAGAACAGCTCGGCAACCACCTCAGCCAGCTCCTTCAGGACCCTGGGATGCAGCCATCCGGCCCGTAGACTTGTGCACATTCAGACTTGTGCACATTCAGTCTCATCAAGTGGTCTCGGACTTGCAGTATTCACAGGATTTACTGCCCCAGTCCCCACCTGGAGGTTTAGGGATGCAGGGCTCAGGGATGTGAGAAACACTGGAATCCTGGCCGCCAGTGACGACCGAGGCAAAGAGCTCATTCAGTACCTCAGCCTTCTCTTCATTTGTTAAAGCCAGTTCTCCTTTTACTAAAGGAGGCACACTTGCTTTGGCCTGTCACTTCTGGCCAATGTACCTGTAGAAAGTCTTCCTATTGTTTTTCACACCTCTTGCCAAGTTCATTCTGCCTGCGCCTTGGCTTTCCTGATCCCATGTCTGCAAGTCTGGATGGCATCCCTGTATTAAATGCATAAAGTGTTGAGTCCTTTTTCCCAAGGCACAAAAATAGATTGGCATTTCTATTGTCACAAGGCCATACATTTCAATTCCTTATTACAAAAATATTCTGAATTTCCAAGTGAGAGAGCTAAGTTGCTATTTAGATATTCATGTGGTGATGTAATCAGAGTTCAAACTTCTAATCAAAACATCGCTTGCCTACGTTGTATTCTTTTCTCATTTTAGGATTGTCAAAAATAAATCAGCTACAGTCAGTGTGCAGGAAAGGAAATCTGAATCGTACCTGTTCCCTCAAAAAGCTGTTTTATTCATCTCTTTCCACGTTATAAAATAATTAAGTGGAATTATTGATAGCTAGATGGAGGAGGAAATAGAGCTGAGTGTGAAAGAGTGTATGCAGTAATTATAGGAAACCACAGTTCACAGCCTGAGTCTGGTGGAGGAAATTAATTCTCCTTCTTAAAGGCTGGGCATGCAAGACAGATTGCAGTCTGTCAAGTGAGTATGACAGAAGTATGAGGTGCAATTATTTTGTGAGCACACACATCTGTGTTTTATTTATTCATTGTTGTACATAATATGCATGTGTTTTTTACTATTGCTGTATATACTCTCTATCCAGCAGTTTCTACAGTTTGATGCAAACTGAGATGGATGAGGAGCAAAATTCACATTTCTCTGGAACGTTTATTGGAATAACTTTGTTTTGACATTAAAGTTTGAGGTCTCCCAAGTGCAATTCAGCCCATGTAGTATAAACCTGGGTAATTAACTAGAGATAGAATTACAGGTAAATACCAGCAACTGGATGAAAATTATGACTCTTTTTGGGCTTCTTTTAACAGGAAATATCCATATGTTCTCCAATGTAGCCAGAGATGCACACTATTATCCACGGAGGCACCGAAATGAAAGAGCATGGACACAGGAGCAAGAGGAAGAAGAAAACAGGCCACAGGTAAGTGGGCTTAAACATTTCACCAGGGTGAGAGGTTGGCATACACCTCTGACACCATTGCAGACTTATGCTCAATGCTTTCTTCAAGTGCTGTACCCAAACAGGTGATTACACAAGGAACTAGATTGTTTCTCTTTTATTGATCACTGCTTTAAGAATAGATCTGTTGATAGGATCACAGGCCCTGGAGTTTCAGCAACCAAGTATTTTGCTGGTGCTTGGTTCTTGCAGGCTTGAAGGGCTTAATAATCTAACAGTGATCAGTCCAAGTGTGGACTGATACTGGATAAGGTAGTATTGCCTTGTCCTCACTGCATATTTAATCCTTCAGTATATTAGCATACAGTTGTAGCCCAGGTCGGGACGGGTCTGGGTTGCATTTCTACCAGCTGAAACCTTCAGATATGGTACCAGGTGTCAGTTATTGCTAATACACCTGTGTGTGCACCCATGCTGCCTACCTTGGAAAAATCTTCCTCCACAGGCAGTCCAGTATCTAACAAGATTGTAGTCAAGGGAAGATGAGCTCTTCCTTGGAGTCCCTTATAGACTGGCTCTGAAGTAGTCCTAGGCAGCGTGCAGACAGCTAAGCTAGGGCACATGAATCCATGAATCCCACCTGCTGCTGTGTTGGGTGTTCTTGTTGCTAACCCAGGGCAGAGTGCAGAACCTAAATAGGCACGTGCTACGTTTTGTTCCTAACCACAAAAGGAAGTTTAAAAGTCAATTAAAAGCTGGACTGATGATCTGCATTTGGTTGCTGACTAGCAGAATTCTTCGATCCTTTGGGCATTTATCACTCTTTTGCCCTACTGCATAAATCCAAACAAACAAAATGCTTAATGCATCCTGCCCCAAGTAAAATTACTTGTGTTCTCTTCACCCTTTACATTTATCCAGTGTTTGGACAAAGATGGAGGTTTTTAGAATATATGTGTAAACTTTGGAAAATGCACAGATGGGAATTGTAATGTTCTTTTGGCTTGGATTTTTAACTGGCAGGCAGGCACAGTGTTGTGGGCATCTATTGCCTTGAGCAAGGAGCTGTAGAAGAGAGAAAAAAAAAGGCTCTGAAAACATAATTGGAAGAAAACGGCTTTAAAGAGCTTTCAGAGACTGTTAGTAAAAGTTATTTTAGAACTAGAATGTCATCCTGGTCAAAATTTGGAAATACTCATCTTTTCTCTGCTTTGAACACACTGTTGATTTACAATAGCCTGACTGCAGTGAATGTGGCACGTTGGTTTCCATCTGTACATTTGTCCACTGATTATGGCTGTTCTTTTCAGAACTCATATTCTGCATTTATTCAGTTGATGCCCGTTTTCATCATCATCGTGGTGTCGGTTATAACTCAGCTGATGGCCACCAACCCCCCCTACAGCCTGTTCTACAAGTCGTAAGTCACTTGGAAATAGTTCTTTGTTTGAGACAGAGGAGGTGGGCAGAAGTGGGTCTTAATGGAAGAGCTGCTAGTTGGTGTTCTGTGCTGCTCTTTCTAGAAAGTGGTGTCAGGTAAGGAAATCCCAGCAGTCTCTATCGATAAGTTCTCCTAAGTAAACTACGGTGAGCTTTATTGCTCTGGGTACTGAACAGATAGAGGTGCTGAGCCAGAAAGCTTAACCAGCTGGTGTGAAATGCTGTTGCACAGTGGAAGGAATGTGGGTGTAGCTTAGCTGCAGTCCTAATCAGCCCCTGGCCTGCCAAGCCCCGCAAGGTCTGTGGGCTGCCTCTCGTGTTCCCATGTAAAGCAATGATTAAATCAGGTCTTGCAATATGATTTCAGCCAAAATGCCACTGGGAAATTTGTCAAGTGCCGCAAATGATTGAAGTTTTGAAATGGTGTGGTTTAACATCTGTAAAGAAGCAGTATTCACAGGTTATGGAGGGCAATCTAAACTAATCTAGAAGCAGAAGGAATGCCAGACCTGCTGCAGTATGAGTTGGTGGGCAGGAGGAAAACTCATATAAACCTCTTGGCATGTGGTGCTGGGAGATGGGAAGCTCTCCAGGCTGGTTTAGTGAACTTCTCTGGCTCTTCCTGAGATAGCAATGGGAGTTGGCAAGGTTTGAAGTACCATAGGTGGGCGCCTACTGCATACAGCAATAGCAGAGCACCCTGCAAGCTCTCCTTGCTCCCATTTAGGAGCAAAACTACTCAGGTTTAGGCCTGTATGCTTTCCACTATCATAGTGTAGCTTTGATTAGCCCAACATCCTTTATTGTTCTTTACCACCAGATGTCAGTATGTGGACCTACGAGAATAAATGGTTGGTGGCTTGTTTTTTCTGGTTTGGATTTTTTTGGTTGTTGTTCTGTTTTCCAGAAAGTGTTCTTGCTATCTGCCCGTCCCACGTGGAACCTCACACACTGGGACTGAGCAGCTAATCTTCCCTGGCTTGCTTCACTGCCTTCCCTTGTCGTGTTGACATGAGATAGCCAGGCTAGAGCCTGGTGTACAGTTACAGATGCTGTTTCTCTAAATCATATCTTAAAAAAAAAAAAGCAGCTCTAAAAGAATTGATGTAAGGAAAGCATACATCTCCAAGGCTTAGTGAGAGAAAAGTTTAAAAAGAGCCCAGGAAATGGAAGGAGCCAACTGAATTCCATGGGGAGAATGTAACCTCCACATTGTTTGCTGCCTGCCTCTTTCTCTGGGCAGTGACTTGAAAAAATGCCTGCGTATTTATGTTCCAATAAGGAAACTCCAAAAAGAATAGTCTAGCCTCTTGTCTGTGCCATTGTGGCCTGTCCCTCCTACAGGATGCTCCACACACCACCAAGGCTACCGGTAATTATAAAACACTGAAGGGAAGTGTAACTAGAATCCCCTCTGTTAATTCTTATTTCTACTAAAGGATCCAGAAACCAGGAAAATGTAAATCCATTTACATTGTGCTCTGCACAATATTGGGCTGCATGCCTTTCCTATAGTCCCTGTATTTGACTTTTGTTTCCCATGGATTTCTGAACCTAGCTTGCCAGAAGTTAACAGCAAACAGAAGAAAGGGTGTGGAGCTTCTGTTTACACGTAAAATTGGTTCTCAGGCTCTGGAATTATCTGAACTGAGCAGTTGAGAACTTGATATTGGAAAGGAGCAGAGTCAGCTCTGATTCAGTTTTTTGTAGATGTCTCCCAGTTCTGTGTATTTTCACTATGTGGGTTTTCTTTTTCAGTGAATTCTGTTTGTGGTGATAAGCCTTCATGGCCTGAGGCTTGTAATTTCCTTAGTGCATGGCTGAGGGAGCTATCGTCCTGCAGAAAGTGACTGTTCAGAAGTAGTTGCAAAAATTCTCTTCTGGGAATATTACTAACAAGATACGTCTCTCAGTTTGTTTGTGTTTGAACAGCTGAAAAATCTGTTTTCTCCATCGTGTTTTCACAGGTCCATAGGCCACGTTATTAGCAGAGAAACAGAGAACTTGCAGGTGCCTTACTATGTTGATAAAAACTTTGAGAAGAATTATCAAGGAGCAGAGCTTCAAGAGCTGGAGAGAACAGTTGAAAAAGATTACATAGACTATATTCAGACCAGCTGCTGGAAAGAGAAGCAGCAAAGTAAGTTGTTTTTCTTATGAGCCCTCAGTAGTTGTGCGGTGGCTGTGCTTCACAAAGCACTGCCATTTGAGCTTCGTTTTCCAGCGCGGCGAACTTCTCAAATCTTGCAGCTGTCTTTCTCTCATCTGTTGTTAACACTGACTTCGTTGAGGGGCTGTCAGAGTACATTTTAGGTGTTTGAAAGAGAAGTGGGAAGTGGATTCTGCCATTTGAGACGCTTTTCCACTCCACTTGTATGCTTGGCCAGCTCTTAGTGAAGATGTTTTAAACACTAACTGCTACGTTTATTTAGCTCTGACAGATTGTTTGGGCTAGAAAAGATATTAATGTTTCCTTCGCTGGGGCAGAATCAGTTTTACTTTGGCTGGCTCTGTGAGAAGGACCTCCAGCTCTTCCTTAGAACTTCATCAGGAGGAGCCCAAAGCCTGCTCAGGTGGCTGTGAACATTTTGCAGTGCTGCTGGTATCGGTTCTCAAAGACAGTGCCTCTGTGCTAATTTTGTGCACTGATTTGCATTTTCTATCTTTAGATGATTTGAGAGCGTGTTTTTCACTGTAGTCTTTTAAAAACAAGAACTGAATGCAGGGAGGGAGACCACAAAAATGTGAGCATTCAGAGTCATTCTTCTCATGTTAATTCTGAGTCAATCAGTGCCACATGTGCAGGCATGCATTGTAACCCTGCACTGGAGCACTTGTAAGTCACTGCTGTTCTTTAATCCAGTGCAAGAGGTAGCAGTAGTGTTGCCCTTCCTATCACAAAGTCTGTGAACCATTTCAAGTAGGTGCTCTTCATCCAGAGGCAGTTCTTTTGCATCACATCAAAATCATGCTTTGAAGAGAACCACACAGCTGTGGACTCTGAAGTTTAAAAGATGAATAAATAAAAGAAGCCTAAATGTGGAAACCTTAAAAACCCCAAACATTCCCTTGATTTTTGGTGTACTTGATTTGTGATATTAGTACACCTGTGGCAGCCTCTATGTACAATGTGCCTATTAGTAACCATAAACATAGGCTTCCTGTGTGGGCTTGCTATAGGAATAGAGTTTTTTCCCCTACAGGAAAATCATATTAATTAATCTCGTGCAAATGAAACTCACTGTGTTGTCCCTTTCATGTAGACCTTGAGCTGAGGAGTGCTGTGCCCCAAAATGAGCAGTGGGGTTTGCAAGTCTGGGGGGTGGTAGTTAGAGGTGGTCCAGTGCTGAATGCCAAGTAATGCCTGCAAAACAATCCCCTCTTGAGATTTTTGCTCTTCCTTTTCACTGTGTGCACGTGGACCACAGGAATGTGTACGATGCCCTCCCTTAGCAGTAGCTGGAGACCACTCTAATTAAACAAAGAAGACACAAGAAGTTTTCAGCATGATTGCCACCTAGGCCCGGGAGAGCAGATACTGAGCACAGCTGAGGCTGTCCTAACTTTAGTACAGCCAAGTTTGTCGATAAATAGAACTGAACACAAGATGGAGTGCTGGGGAAAAGTTATCCGGGACCTTGAGACAGTTGTTAATCAGCTGCTGTTTCGTAACTTTGGCCCGTTGCTTCTTGTGTGTTTAACTTTGTGGTCAGCCTCTTTTTTTTTCCCAGTTGAATGTCTATTAATAGTGCATTTGTTCTATTTGCTGGAGGTACATTTAGCAGCAGCAAAAAGAACACAGATTAGTTACAGGAACAGCTCAAATTACAGTCCTTGCTTTTATGATTTGAAAAGCACTACCTGATGTCCATCTACCTCCACAGAATCTGGAAAAGCAACTGATGTATCAAGATGTTGTTCAGCCAGGCACTTCACAGCAGCCTAACGTGACAGCTTTGGTCTCCTAACATCTTTGATGTGGTTATGGACAAAAGGCAAGCCATAGGTGGTTGTTCAGGCATAGGAGCACAGTTGTGAAGTGAGACTGCAAAGAGCTCAGAATCAGAGAGAATTACAGGGAGGGAACCGAAAGCAGAAAGGAGTATGTAGTTGGAAGTAAGTATTTTAGGAGATCCTTAAAGAGAAGAACTTCAGTCAGGGAAGGTTGAAGAACAGCTGTGTGAAAGATGGGAAAACTTATGGAGCTTATATGACAGAATGAATGCTGGCAAGAAGTGCAAACATTGACAGTAAAAATTTTTGCCCAGTTGGATGAGTACAAACCAAGTGTCTCCACTGCAGAACTCTGAACTGCGAGGCAGTAAGCTGGGTCTGGTTTTGCTCAGGGGCCTTCAAGGCTCTGGACGTAGCACATTTGTGCTCTGCTGGAGTGGCACTTGAGTTACAAAGACTGAAAGTTGATTCCTGACCTAAAATAAGACGTTTGTGCCCTTCAGTTTGTAAAGCTTTTTGATAAATTGATAGAGGGTCATATGGCTTTAAATTTCACTAGGACAGGGCAGAGGACATAAGGCATGAAAGGCCCCGTTGAGAAATTCTTTGTGCTCCAACTGATTTTGTAAAATGAGAGACTTGCAGGGTGTGTAAAAGCTCTTTGAAAAATTGAATGTCATCAGGTAGCCTGTGCTTAGGGGAATTTTGACCTTTTCAGAAACAAATCACTGGTATTGTCAGAGCTGACTCTTCAGGGAGAAAACTATATTAAGACTTCCTTAGCTAATCAGCAAAAGATGCTTCCCTGAGTTGCTGGGGGAGAGTAATTGAAGCAGTGGGATTATTTCAGTTACATGTTGCAAAGCACATTCAGAATCATATTGTTAATGAAAGGGCACGGAGACCTGCCAGACAAGTCCCTTATCTAGCTGCTCACCTTCTGTCATCAATAACAAAAAAACAAACAACAAAAAAAGTAGAATTAAAGGAATTTACAGTGCCTTCTGGGCAAACCTCTTGGCAGACGGCTTGAATCCTGATAGGTGCAGCATGACAAAACCCACCGTGTGTACATCAAAGTATTGGAGTGGGTGGGTGTTGTGGGCCCCTGCAGAATGGGTGCACCAGAAGAGTTGCATTTCTCAGTTCTTTGGGCACGGATGCAGGGCTGGTAACTCCTGTTTGGCTGCAGGCAGCTGACAGCCTTAAGAGAGCAGTGGGAAAAGTGGGCACGAGGTTCTCTGTCCTTTTGGCTCCACTGAAATACTGCTGACAGGTGTGGAGTAACCCCACCCTGGGGTCTGTGCTGGGGAGAGATGGGTGGACATCAGTGCCCGACAGGATGAGATGTCACGCAGTTGTCAATGCTGGTATTGACTAAGAACAGATTTGATCTGTTAGCAGATCAAATGGCGTCCTGCCATTCTATGCACACACAGCTTACGCACACTTCGTGTTTGTGAACAGTTTTGTACTTTGTGCTTTCTTTGTAGGCAGTAAAAATTACTCTTAGTTTTTTGTTATTGCCCAACTGGTGCTCTAGTAGAGTTTTTGGATTACTATTACTCTTTGAATTCTCAAGTAATTATGGAAAGTTGACGGCCTCTCTGGAAGGAAGTTATTTCCATGGAGCTGTGCGTGTTGTAAGGTGAACTTAACTGATCCTAAGGATAACAAAGCAGTGAGAAACAGTTACTTGAAGCTGTCTCATAGCTTCACCCTAACGTGTGCTGTCTTCATCTTTCAGAGTCTGACTTGTCAAATTTGGCCAAGCTGTACAGAGATGAGCGGTTAAAACAGAAAGCAGAGTCGCTGAAACTCGAGCACTGTGAGAAGCTCTCCAGTCTGATCGGAATGCACAAAGGGGGCTGAGCAGGGCCTCTGTCCTTATTTATTGCTGTTTTAAATTATGTTTTTATTTTCCTCGGTATAAAAAGGGAAGGAGTCTATTGCAAAGTCTGAATACCCGATTCCTTCGTGCTGTGCAGAGATGGGCCAACACGAGCTGTGGAGCTGTGTTTGCTTTAATATACTGTACACTCTATTTGGTTCCAAGGACCAGTGGCACTTTGTAAATTAATTCTCTGGGAAATGCTATGAGTTTGAAACGTGTCTCTTTGGTAGTCTGTCTGCCATCCAAACAGCGTGTACTTCCAGGAGAGCAGACAAGTGTCCTGTGCTTGCTGTGTTTCCTATGGACCTGCCGTTCGCTCGGTCACAGCACCGCTCTGTACCGGGTGCACTGACCTCGTCCTGCTGATGCCACCTGGCTGTTCCTGCCTCTGCGGTGCTGCGTGAGGAGATGTGGGTGAAAGGCAGCGAGTCCTGCTGCAGTCTGACCTGCAGTGCTTGATTCGGAGTAGCTGCTTCACTACGGACCTGAGCACACTGCTGCTGCTCTCAGAGGGACCTGACTGCGCGTCCTGGGTTGGGTGGAGAGGGCTGAGCCTTGCTGGGCCTGCGAGCCGAGAGCAGCAACGCTGAAGTGCAGAGTGCATCGATGGCAGCGCTGCCCAGCTGCAGGGCAGGGACAGCCATGTTCACTTCATCCTGTGTTTCCAGTGACATATTTCGAAGCTGGCTGTGTAATTCCGATTCTTATGGGCAAACTCCTCTGCAGCTGTTACAGGGGTCCCGCGTTTTCCGGTATGGTTTTAATGTAGCATCTTTTTACTCTGTTGAACAGTTATGAATGTTTCATTGTAGAGACTAGCACTGCAAAGAAAGAGATCCGTGTAGTCGCGTCTGTGTTGCCTTCGTCCTCCCTTGCGCAGCCAGGCCTTTAAAAGCAGGCCGAGGAGGGGCTGCGCTCGGTGCGTTGCACGGCGGGGCCGTTGCTAGGAGACCGGCCGGCCGCCATTTGCCGCGGGGGTGCGGAAGATGGCGGCGCTGCCGGGGGGGCGGGGCCTGGCTGTGGGCGGGGCGATCGCCGTTCAGGCCGCGCCCCCCGCCCTGTGCTGGGCGCACGTGGGCGCCGTGCCGCTGTGCTCGGTGCGTCCCCGCGCTGTGGCCGGGAGGACGGGCGGCCGCCGGGATCCGGCTGGGAAGCCCGGCACGGCGTCCTCCGTGCCGTACCTCGCCATTTGGGGCACCGCGGTGCCGCCGACCTCGTGGAGCCCGGTCTCAGCAGGGAGGGGTTAAGCACCGGCTGCTTTCAGTCCGTCCCGCGTGTGCCAAGTTTAAATTTAGCCCCCGCGTGAACCCAGCGAGGGGCATCGGGTTGCCTCGGGGCTGGCAGCGCTGCGCGGCACCTGCTGCCACTGCCCGCAAACAGCCCCCAGAGCCGGGGCTGACCCCGCGGGGGTGGCCGGATGGGGCCGGGCGCACCGAGACCTCCGCACCTCCGAACGAGGCAATTAGGCGACTAATTAACACCGTCCTTCGCTCGGCTCCAACGGACCCGGAGGCGTTCGGTGCCGGTTTGGTTTCAAAGCCCACGCTTGCTTCTGGCCGCTCGCTGTTGGGTTGGGGGATGTTATGGGCAGGATCGCTTGGGGCCGGGCTTCGCGTTCCCGGGGTGGGGACGGGATGGGGATGGAGGAGCGGCGCGGGCCCTCAGCCTCCTTCTATGCTGCCGGGGGCGGCAAGCGGCACGGTCTCCGTGTGCTCCCATCAGCCCAGGGGATGATACACGCCCATGCGTCCCGTGGGGCCGTGCTGGCACCCGGCCTGCGGGGTCACGGCGCAGCAGCGAGGGGTCACGGCAGCACCGTCCCCAAGGCAGACCCCTGAGCCGGAGGCGGCGGAGGCATTCCTGCACCTCCCGGCGCTTGGCATCGCCCCCCCCGGCCTGGCGCCTGCCGTCGCACATGTGATTGAAGCTCCGGGCACCGCTGCGAGCGCAGCAGAAGGTCGAGCAGCGCCGGGCCCGTCCCCACCATGATCCCCCGCGGCAAGAGGGACGCGGGCCGCCCTGCCGAGCTGCCCGACGGCGCGGAGCGACACGGGTCCCCCTGGGAGGAGGACGGCCGCCTGTCCGTGCTGCCCCGCGACGACCTTCCCAAGAGCGTGTCCGACTCGTCCATCTCCTCCTACCACTCGGCGCGGTGCTCGGAGACCACCGACACCTTCAAGGACTGCCTGGAGTTCCTGGAAGAGGACGATGCGGGCCGCCTCACTCCCCCGCCGCCCTACGTGCCCCCCGAGGGCCCCCCGCCGCGCGGCCCCGGCTCCGGTCTGCGGGAGGAGCGCGCCCGGCAGCCCCAGCTGTCCGTCACGGCTAAGAATAGCGCGGCGCCGGGCCGCGGGGGCAGGATGGGTCCCATCCGCGGAGATCGGCCGCCCGTCGTCGCCTTCGTGGAGCGGCCGTGCGCGGCGGCACCGGCGGCGATGCTGGGCGAGGGGCGGCGGGCCCGGAGGGGCGGCGGGGCCAGCGACTCGGACGAGGCCGACAGCGAGGTGCGGGCGCTGACGGCCAGGTCCTTCCACAGCCTGTCGGGCCCCCCCGGCGCCCGGCTGGACATGTGCAGCTCGTCCAGCCTCTCCAACTCGCTGTCGGAGGACGGCGGCGGCGGGCGGCGGTGGGCGGCGTGCGGGGAGCCCCGCGGTACGGAGCTGAGCGGCGTGCCGGCCAAGGAGCTGTTTGAGTGCGTGGATGTGGAGCTGGAGAGCGGCGACGCCAAGAAGGGCTACGGCAAGAGGAGGACTGTCCCCAAACGGCAGATCCAGCTGAAGAGGAAGGAGAGGAAGGAGGCGGGGTTCTTCCCGTGGGGGGACAGCTCGGCCCCGCAGCCGCTGACCCCCGCCAGGAAGGAGCCCCCGGGGAAGGGCAGGGCTGGCGGCGAGGACTTCAGGTTCAACTACAAGCAGTTCGTGAAGACGGCCTCCTTGGATGGTGATGGCAGCAAGACCCGGATGGCCTCCAGCCTGGTAAAGAACGTGCTGGCCAAGAAGATGCAGTACGAGCAGCTCATCAAGATGGAGCAGCAGAAGGCGCTGCGGGGCAGCTCCACCTCCTCAGGGCCGTCCTCGGCCGGCACTGACCTACTTGGGGACGGCATGGAGGGCAAGTCCAGCTCGCTGTCCAAATCCGACCTCAGCGCCTCGGCCGAGGACGTGAGGCTGGTGGACATGGGGCTGGGGCACGTCGGTGCCCACCGGCCGGCCAAGGGTGTGGTGCTGAGCGAGGCGACGCGGGAGAACGTCTGCAGGCTGAAGAAGACCTTCAATGAGCTCAACGAGAGGATGCGGTACCAGGAGGTGGTGCAGTGCCAGCGCCTGCCTGCTGCCGAGCCCTCCGCAGAGAGGACTCCCTACTGGCGAGCGCGCGCCCTGTTCGAAGGCCGCAGCGGAGATGGGAAGGTGCCGGCCGTCACCCCCAAGTTTGAGAAGCCGCAGAAACCGTGGCCCAGCTTGAGGCAGCGAGCCATCCGCCCCAGCAGGCCCCAGCTCGTCCCCTTTGAGCCCAAAAGCTCGGTGCCTCCCAACGTGCCGCCCCGGAGCATCTTCACTTCCCAGGCGCGGGATGTGAGGTTGGGGCCACAGAGCCGTGGGGAGGAGAAGCCACCGCCAGCGCCCCGAGAGCCCCTGGGACCCGGGATCACTGTGGGTACCCCTGCCGAGCCGGGCAGCAAAGGCAAGGCGCTGGTGCCGCAGCCACGGGACGTGCGTAAGCTGCTGAAGAGCAGCTACAGCCTCAGCTTCGGTGCTGCTCGCGGACCCCCGGCTCCCGGCCCCAGCAGGGAAAGCACTGGGGAGCCCAAGCCGCCGTCCCCACTCATCATCCACTGCACCTCGGTCCGACGCAGCGAGCCGGCACCGAGCGTCGTGCCACCTGTGGGTGGGGACGTGGGGACAGATGGTGTCCAAGAGCCTGCACCAGCACGCAGCGAGGGCACGGCGGCATCCGTCAGCAGCCACCCGGCGCAGGGCTCACCTGTGCAAATCAGCAAGGTGCAGTCTGTGCGGAGAGAGGCAGCCACCACCAAGAGCCCCCGGCCCGGCCCGGCCGCGTGCCGCCAGCGCAGTGAGATCCATGTGCCGTCACTGGTGGGGACTGTGGAGGAAACGCACGTAGAGAGCCACCTCCATGTCCTGGTCGGGCCTCAGTCCCCGCCTGTGGCTGTGGAGGCCTCCCCGGCTCGGAGCAGTGCTGTGCTGAGGATGGAGAAGACCCTTCTCCTTCCACCACCACCACTGAGCCCCACAGAGGAGGATGAGGAGCGTGGTCACGGTGTCACCATAGGGGACGGCGCTGGAGCGGACCAACAACGCAGCAGCGGGGACAACCCAGGGAATGTCCAGGATGTGAAACCAGCAGTGAGAAGTGCACTGAAGCCACCCACCTGTGAGCAGCCGGGCAGCCAGCTGGCCTCAGCGGGGAACCACGGCCCCGCAGACAGCACTGGCCCCACTGCGCCATTTCAAGCGAGGGAGGCTGGTGAAGGTCCATCTGTTCCCCCTGTGCCACTCGCCAGCAGGCCACCAGAACAGAGGGAGACCGTGGAGCACGTAACGAAGTGGCCGGGAGCCAGTGATCCACACCTTACTGTTGTCCAGGCAGACAACTCCAACTACTTGACAATTCCTGTGAAAGCCCCCAAACCTTCCCCAAAGGTGCCCCTGGTCCCTAGTCCGGGCACCACCTCCTTTGGGACCCCTTTGGTCCCCCACCCAAACAGTGTGTCCTTTGGGACCCCCTCGGTCCCAAACTCGGCCACCACGCACTTCGGGACCCCTTCAGTCCCCAATCCAGCCACTGCACCCATTGGGACCCCACTGGTCCCCCATCCATCTAGTATGCCTTTTGGGACCCCTTCTGTCCCCAGTCCAGCCAGTGCATCCCTTGGGGCCTCCATGGTCCCCAACCCATCATCTTTTGAGACCCCTGTGGTCCCCAGCCTGACCAGCACATCCCTTGGGACCCCTTTGGTTCCTAGTGCAGCCAGCTCCTCTTTTGGGACGCCGTTGTTCCCATACCCACTGGGTGCACCCTTTGGGACCCCTTTGGTCCCCAGCCCAGCTACTCCATCCTTTGGGACCGCTTCAGTCCCCAGGTTGCCCAACTCAGCCTTTGGGACCTCTTTGGTTCCCAATCCACCCAGCACACCTTTTGCAACCCCTTCGGTCCCCAACCCAGCTGGCTCATCCTTCGGGGCCCCCTTGGTCCCCAACCCATCCAGCACACCTTTTATATCTCCTTCTGTCCCCAAGCGGGCCAGCTCATCCTCTGGAACCCCCTTGGTCCCCAATCCAGCCACGACGTCCTTTGGGACTGTTCCATTCTCCAGGCCACTCAACTCAATCTTTGGTGCCCCCTTGGTCCCCAACCCATCCAGCACACCCTTTATGACCCCCTCTGTCCCCGTGCCAGCCAGCTCATCTTTTGGGACCCCCATAGCCAACAACCCAGACCCTACTTCCCTTGGGTACCCGTCAATATCTAACGTGGCCAGATCTTCCTTTGGGTCTCCCTTATTTCCCAGCTCAGCCAGTGCTCCTCTGGGGACTGCTGTGTCCCCCCATCCCGGTGGGGAAGCCCCATGGAGCAAACCCCTCCCTGAGCCCCCCCAGCCCTCTGATGCTCTGGCCGCTGCTGTGCCCCCAGCCCAGCCCCAACCTCACATGGAAGACGCTCCCCGGAGGACCGAGGGATCCTCGCCGAGCAGCAAGAGCACACCGAGCCCCACACGGCCCTTTGCTCCCCACCCCTCCGCACACCGCAAGATGCTCGTTGATCCCGACAGTGGAAAATGCTACTACATGGAAGCGCCACGGCAGCCCCAACTGAAAACACTTT